ATTTTTAAAAAATATTATAAAAAAATGTAGTTTTTTTTTTATTTATCTTTTTATGAAACATTTTAAATAAATATATATTTATATTCATTGTATGTAGTAGTAAAACTTAATTAGTAGGATTAGTCAAAAAACCTTCTAAAAGAAGGTTAATGAAAATTAAGTCTAATAATAATTACTGAATTAAATATATAATAATTTTCAAGTACGAAATTAATTAGTTTAATTTAAAGAAAAACGAAGGCGGAATTTAGTTTTGATTACATTATTATATAATGTGTTTATATTGTAATCAGAGAATATAATACATACAAGTGAATGTATTATATTTTTTTCGAGTCCAAAAACGCATTATCAAGGAGGATGTGAAACCGGAACTGTTAGTAATTGACAATATTGGCGAGTCGAGACTCTCGTAGACCGCGAGTGCGCGCCGTGTAAGCGTTCTTAATATGAGCCACTTTTTGCTCCACCCTGTTATTATTAATGAATAAATGGTATATGTTCGCATGTTAAAGTACTCGAGGTCAATGATCGCGTGGTATGCTGTAAAAAATGTGCTAAGGACGTCAGATCGGAATTCTATCAACTGTACAACCGATAGGTACTAATACAGTCGGGGTCATTAATTCTCTTATTAGCTTTGAATAATTAATTAACATATAATTCGAAAAGCATAAGCTTATCAACTTTGCTCGTTAGTGAACCAGATTGTTATGTTACAGCCATTTTAATTAGTTTTTCCCTATGCTTCTATATTGTGACAAAGTAAAACCTGAATTTGATTTTGTGTATTTTAATTAAATAGATTTGTTGTCTCTAAAATATAATGATTACATATACCCTATGATAACAATATGATATAAAAAATATTTAATTAATTATATATTTACATATAAAAATATTTCTTGGTTAATTATTTCAATCTCTACATAATTTTTTTTATGCAACTTAAAATAGCAAACAAGGATAAATGACATGAGCAGTACAATGGACATAACAGAATATACTGTTTCGCCCATGATATCCCTAATGCGTTGCCATTCCTGAGGACTCAGGTGCTATTCCTCTGTACTCTGCAAATTCACTGCCATAAAAAAAAAACAAAGTCGCTTTCCGTCGTCTTTACGTTTAGATTTTTTTGTAGTTGTTTGTTTCACTCTTATAACTGTTATTAATGATAAAAATATTTACGAACATACATCATCTGTCCCGTTTGAAACATTTTTCTTATAAATTGGATAAATACACTTGCAGTATATATAATTTATCTACAGTGAATTGAAAATCCACTAAATGGAGTGATGATCTCAAATGCATTGCAGGGAGTCAGTGGATGAAGTGGCTCAGGACCATTCTTTATGGCTGTCTATGGGGGAGGCCTATGTTCAATAGAGCATAGATAACGACTGATGTGATGAATCGAAAAACTATTTAGGGATTTTATAGTTTGTTTCAATACTTTCAATAGTGCTTAATGTAATAGGTAACCAAGTTTTGTTGAAATAATCACAAAAGCATTATCTAAATTAAATTAGTAACAAATCAAAATATACAATCAATATATCGATTTTTTATTTGTTCCTTTAATTATATGATAAAATTTTTATTAAGCACTATTTATTTTGAGGTTTTAGTTCCATGCAACTTTATTACAATATAAATCAATACCAATATTATTCTATGCCAATACTCGATGTACACAGACGGACTATTTAGTTTTATATTGTTTAGATTTTAAAGGTATATTTGATTTTCACTACAATTCTAAAAAGATTAAATTTATTGCGTACTAATTCACACATGAAAATAGTTTAGGTACGCACTATAATATTTATCGACACTAGCCCAATAAAACTGATCACCTGGCAAATGGAGAATTTTCTGGTATTTGCATTAGTTATAAGAACATAATAAATAAGAGCTATTATAACGTTTAAAAGCATTTTTTAGTAAATAGTCTCTTTGAATTAGATTAGTCTCTTAGAATAAGAATATCAATTTCTAATAAAAAATCACATTTACGTAATTGATTTTTGTGCAAATAAACACGACGAGTATGTAATTAAGAGTAGGAAATAAAAAAGCTATCTACTACGTTCTATGTCAAGGTGCTTAAGGTTGCAAGGTCAATGTGCTTTCATTGCATTTATTTCTAGCGGCTGCGAAGCTTCTCGTGTTACTTAATTTTGAGTCTTAGTTTTAAGTACTGTTAAGTCTATTTGCTGCTGTTCTACGATTTGTTCTACGATAAAACAAAATCGATGTGAACAAAATCTTGTCGTTCTGAGTAATATGGGAAATATATCAATAAATATGAGAATGTGTAATTTTTAATTTTGATAAACGTTAAATTAAAAAAAAAATTTAAGATATTCCTTGTGTTTTTAAATCCATATTATACTTTATATGTAAATGTGTGTACATATATCTATACAAACAGATAATTGCTTAAAGTGGATAATTTTAGCTATACGACGTATTAAACCTTATATCTAGTAACATTCGATAGATAATATTACATACCGAAACCAATTTCATATGTAAATTCTACGAGTGTATTTGACGTAGTTGAGTTGTCAAAAAGTTGTAGAATTTAAAATTGTTTTTTATAAACAACTTGTTGGTACAATCACCTTTAATTATGGTTATGAACTCTCGACAGGTATGTTAACTACAATTATTTTTTTACGTAGAGCACTACTCGTAAAACATATATTTGAAAAATTAACGTTATTTAAAGTTTTATTCAATTTTCTTTTAATATCGTTTAAAAATTACATTAGCTCGTATTTGGGTCATATAGGGAATGTACAATATTTTATATGCATTTTTTTTATGACAGTGTTTCATCAAATCAAAGTTTTTGGCAATTATAGAGATGATGTGATTCTTGGTGCTTTTATTATACATCCACAGGAACATACATAAACAATTTTTATAAATTTTCGCAGAACAAATTACCTATTACGAATTATGTTCGGGCAAAAAAAAGGATTTTTCCTTATTGTATTAAATTTTGTAATAAACCGGTATGTACCTTGATTATCAATATTTATTTATTTGCTTTCATTAATATTAAATAGTATATTGCGAACCTGATTTTAATAGACAGTGACAAGTGGTTACAACATGTGGGGGACGTTCATGTACCTATCCATGTGTCTACATTCTACCACAGAATACGATTATTTACACAATTACTCAGGTACTACTACACCGCTGTACAACTACACCGAAGCTTGAAATAGCTCCGGTGTAGTTGTACAGCGAAAATTTTATAGTAGTTTAATATATTGCCTTTGTTGTGGTGCTTTAAAGTTCAGTTCTTGTTCCTCACACAATATAAACATTTGAATTCAACTCAGACTCACACGAAGAGGATCTAGACATTTTTATGTTTTATATGTATTTATTTAAATCAAAAATATTTTAAAATGTCAACAAGTCATTCTAGTACCTATAGTACTTAAGCGTTCCGCTGAATTTGCGATTTAGATGGTACTGTGTGTTTTTTTAGTTGATTCCTGGGATCTGCTTATATGATAAAAATTTGCATTATTTAAATGTAAATATTCGCCAATATAGAAACAATATAGATACAAATATTTGATAGATTTCTCTTTGTATACACAGAGTACAAAAATGGTACTTGCAATCTTTGTGATAGAAGTAGGTAGTAATTTCTAAAGAGAGTAACGTACAAGTATGTTCTTTGTATTAAATTTAACAGTAACCAGTAGGGAAGTAAATGGATCTATATTTAATTGTGAGGCAATAACTTTTTATTAACAAGTTATTTTTGGAAGACCAATACAATATATTTGGTTGGATTTACACCACTATGATATATAGATTAAAAATAAATCTTAGTATGTTATACTATTACTTTTTGGCTTTATTTATTTAATATTGCTGTATCAAACAGTCATAAATGACGGTGCTAATATTCTATGTACCTAAAGTAATCAAATGTGGAATTAGTTTTTAATTATTCATAATTTTGCATCAATCAGATTTTTTCTTTTTACAAAATTTTTTACTAAATACATACTCGTACACACATATCGTCATAGTCGTAGAATACTGACGGATCTGACAAAGATTACATATAAAGATCCGTCAGTATTCTACGACTATGACGATATACGTGTCGCCTATCTCCCATTAGAAATAATGGAAAGCCAAATATTCCGAATCTTACAGATATTTTTTGCTTCCTCTACATTAATTAATTTGAATAGACTGATTACAAATTAAAAGTACCCATAACAGGCGAGCTTACATATTCATATAACCAGTTACGGGTACTTTTAATTTGGCCCTTCTTCCGTACGTTGTCGCCTATTTGGTTGATATATGTACGTTCGTCTACAGTGGCCCCTATCAACATCTCTACTCATTCGAGCTTGATAAATCTCTTTATCTTTTTTCATTTTTTTTCTTTCGTAATTCTTCTTTTATCCTTGCTCTCCAAATGACCAACCAAATTAAAATCTTACTAATATAATAAAAATGTAACTAAACGATGTTTGTATATTTAAGAAAAACATATAGGAGTGATTTTAATAAGAGCAATAGAAGTCAAAATATTTTTTATAGTATATTTATCTGTCTGTATGTTTGTTCTAGCATCAAACTGAAACTGTTGTACCAAATTTGATATAGTTTTCTTAGTTATATATTTAAGATCTAAAATTCGTTACGTCATCTAAAAGTGGTTACCTACTTTCAAAATTTACGCGTATGAAGTTGTAGGCAAAAGCTAGTAATAGATATTACCAGTCATAAAATTGATGAAATAAATTTACATTGGGTCAGTTAAAGGTAACCAAGTCTGAATCTGAATATCTACTTAGTACTATTTATATGGAGTTAGTTCTGTCACGACAGTGCAGCACAGACTTGAATCAATTTTCAGTTTTAGCAGTTTGATGTCAGTAATTGACCCAATGTGAACATGTACTTATTTGTTGGTATTTTACCTTTATGATATTCATCAGGTGTTGCGCAAGATTGGCGTGGCGCGAGGGTGTGATGCGAGGAGCGCTGAACGGCGGGCGCCGGCGCCGCGAGTAGTTGCGACCATGCGGGCGCCGCGCCGCTCCGCACACGCCGCCGCTGCCTGCCTGCTAGCGCTCGCCTTCACGCTCGTCGATTCGGTGTCCGCAAACTCCGTTGTTATTAGTAATTATCTTAACATTACTTAGTAGATGGTAATAGAATGGTAACTCCGCTTGTGCTATCAGTATACACTGGCGGAGCTCGTATGAGAGGTGATAGGTGAAGATGAAACCTCAGTCAGGTTTGTCAGTCAACCTTGGTCAGTTGGCTAAGAATTAATTATTGTGGCTTCTAGAGGAAACTGCATGGAGATCGATCTGATAAGATATATTGCTTGCAATGGAGATTGCCGTACCTATTACTATCAATTTCTCTTTTCTTCTTTATGTTACTATTAAACAAGTCTGAACGTCATAAAATTGTGCAATGGTAGTATTTTATTCCACGCGCCTGGGTATGTTATGTGTGGTATGGTACCTACCGAGGTATGGTAGTGAAGTATGGTAATGAAATTAGCTCAGTTGGCACATTGTTATGAATTCACTTGGAATTAACCATGATACTTTCCAGAGGAGGCTTCATTACTAATCTTAATTATTAAAATTTCCTTCAATCTGAAGGATTTTTACTGATTGACAGATGGAATGGCAGATTCATCAGTCTATTGGTTCACACTGGTAGAGTTGTTATCAGTGAGAGATGATATGTCACATCACACAATATAACTATTGTGAACGTTATTATTAATGATGCATACCAGCGGTTACCAATAACATCATGTAAATCAATAGAGTTACTCAATAGATGATAGTTACTATATTTCATTAGATGCTCTCAACTTGTGGTTTTTTCTTAGAAAAAGTAGCTATCTAAACATTCAAATCTCAGGATTACACAATATTAAAAATTTTATGAACTTAATGTATTGTAATTATTTAATGAATTTAATGCATTCATCGTTTCCGACAATTGTTTTGACAATTCCTAATATCCAGTAATGTCTATTAAAATGAACACAAGTTGTAAAAATATTGAACCCAGGATTGTTCAAAACGAGAGGTTATATTTCCCTTCTTAGAACAGAAAACCAATAACGTTAATTGTCTTCTAAGGTTCCAGGAGTGGGCTGTTGTACACGGATCTATTGTTAGGTATTTATTAAACTTGTTAGTGTCGGTTAAGTAAGTACTTACGCGCACGTCCAAAGAGACGTGACATGAGAATCTAAGCAATTGACAATACTCAATTGCTGTTTAAAACAATTCAATGTTAATTAAATCAATCACGCCTTTATGTAATAAATGAGGGATCTATGACGATAATAATTATTTTATTTGTCTCATTATAAAGAAAAATGTCAAACGTAACTTTATCTGATCGGAATAAGGAAGTAAATAATCTAGATATATGATAGGTAGTAAATAATTTAGAATCTGTGTGTAGACTCTGATAAAAATTCTTGGATATTTTGAAGAGCTTTGAAGACTGATTTTACAGTTGCACTCAGTTCCTATGAGAAACAAATTCTCTCTTAAAATTGGTTATGACGTTATGATTTTACAAGGATTCCCCACTTCTTTCCTATTCACAAGTTTGCAAGAAATAATTCGTTTTATCAATATGGGCTAGTATGTATTTGTAAAAATTTTTTATACCATACTATAACACTGTGCAGAAGGACCCTTCACTAGATGGAGCAACCTCAAATGCATTGCAGGGAGTCAGTACAGGTGGTTTAAGACCGTTCCTGATGGCAGTCAATGGGTAAAACCTATGTTCAGTAGTGGATAGTTAATGGCTGATATGACGAGAATAGTACAAAAAAAAAAAAACAAATTAAAACATCAAGATATGTGAACAGTCTATACTGTTCTGATATCTTGGTTTGATGTCTTATCTGTATAATAGTTTTTTAATGAATGACAATAGAATGGTAAGCTCGTCAGCACTGATATTCATCTGTGAGAGATGCTAGATAAGAATAAAGTCGGATTAGTCAACTCATTATGATTAATTCGTTAGGAATTAATCACGAGGTTTTCAGAGGGAACCGCGTGGAGGTCGACCTGATAGGACGTTAGCAATGAGATAATTAATTCCCATTATTCCCTCACGTATTAATAATAATATCTCATGGGGAGAGATTCGTTCCCAGCAGTGGGACGTTAAAGAGTTATTATTATGACGAATAAATGTACGTGGTACATACAGTGGTGATTTCTTACGGTGAATAGAACAAGATACAAAATTTAAAAATATATATATATTTCACGTTCATGTTATATGTTAATAACTAGTAAGTGACAACATGTTATATTAATTATTAAAATTATTTAGGGTATTTAATACACAAATTTGGGTCATTATGTTCCTAATATAAATTTATGTTCGCTGTGATTTGTAATTAAATGATTAGTAAATATATTTGTTTATTTAGAGGCTTTTCACAAAGGAACGGATATAAAATTGAAACGAAGACTAGCTATTAACCACGTTATTGAAAAGAAAAAATACATTAAAAATGATTGCGTAATCAGGATACGATTATGGAGCATTAAAGTCTGAGCTAATAGCGGTAGATATCTATTACATACATTGATTCATGTAAAGCAGGGCTATACTAATGACAGTTTATCCTTAGGCTGTGATTGAACACTGCGCTGAAGGAGCAACTTTCGAAAATTAATGTCATCAATCTAGACTTTATTATTAAAATGACTTATAAACACCGACCTAACGATTACTTTATGTATACGCGCATATGCTTTATATCTAAAACATAGCAATCAAACTGCGTGTAAAGTGTTTAATGTACCGTACAGTTTCGTTATTAGCATAATTTCATGTCACTTGCTGGAATAATAGTATTCGAATATTTAACGGTGATTGATATTCGAGTATTAAGCATATGTGAAAAGATATAAAGAAGCAAGAAACTATATTATATTAAAAGGGTACACTGAAATCTAGATATATATTTCAATAATGTTATTGTGTAATAATATATATATATATATATATATATATATATATATATATATATATATATATATATGTTTGCGTATATATATATATAAGTAAATTATTAAGAAAATTTAAATTAAATTATAAAATATGTATAATGTTTTATGTAGGTACTATAGAGCCTATTAGACTATAGCACATGTCTCAGGAAAACTTGGTGTAAGGTAAGTGATCTCAAATAAATTATATCTACAAAAGCCTGTTTTCCTATATTACACGATATTTCCTATATATTGCACGATATTCGACATTTTTTTTTCTTTATTAAATTTGTATGTAATCTTGTGGCAATAATGGCGGTCGAGCAAAGTACTTATTGATAAATTAATTAAGTACACCAAGGTTTTTCTCAAGGAAGAATTTGTCACTTTGTTATGCATAATGCTTTGATTTATAAAGTCATAAATTTTAACATGCCGAATATAAAGTCTTGTGTAATGTAGGTATTGACATTGATGAACTTAACTACTTATCTACAAATTCATCTACGATATCGAAGGACTTTCCTTAATCGTGATGTGCATTCAAACCAGATTCTGTTACTACGATTTACATGATTATCATGGAATTAGTTTGAACATTATATATAATAGTAATTAATTTTCGTAGCTGGAAAGCTTTTTTATTATACGACATAATTTAAATCCTCAACAATATGAATTACCTATCTAATTTGTTCATTTAAAATTCAGTGAATTATTTATATATTCGTTTACCTTGAACACCGCTCGTTGCTATGAGATAGCTATTATGAAATGTAAATACAACTTGTCCACAAAACGAAGATGGGTACCTACGGTGGATATTATAGTAGAATAATTGTTGATGATTAACATTGCCTTGAATCAATCGGTAATATCGTGTAATTACCATTTTTAACATGAAGCTTGTGTGTTAAATTTGATAAGTAGTTTCGGTATAAATAACAGTAAATGAGACGGATACCATATTATTAATGAGTCCGCTACCAAACATTATGTGTTCTCGTAAAACATGTTGGTCATAAGCATACATTAATTGCCAAAATATTTACGCAGGACACTGGCGACGACGGCGCCAGAAATGACTAGGTAGGTACGTAATAAGAATGCGGATCCGTAGATCTAAATCAAGGTAGTAGTGTGATCGTTCAGCTACGACATCTGATGACGACATTGTTGTGTCGTCTTACTGCGGCCAAGTGTGTTCCACTTTTATGAACGATTAGCTGATACCCATTCTTAAGCTGATAGCTAATGAGTTTTTTATTATAGTAAATTTTTGTTTTTAATCGATCGTTCTCAATTTATCTAAATTTTTTGTAACGAGATTATGTCGATAATTCTGAACCCATTTTCATAATTCTTAGTATGTAATAGGGGTCATTTTCATGTTGATTGCATATTAAGTTTGTGTTTAAAATGTTATTTTCCTTTGTAGAGCAAAAAACTTCTTGCAAAACAGAACCTACTTGACGCGCGATTCCGCATTCTAATTTAAAATATTTTCAATGTCTACAAACATCTCCTTATTTAACAATATGTGTGTGTGTGTGTGTTTACTATTGAAGTCTTTTTTATTTGCTAAGTAAAGACATTTGTCATATCTTGTCTTCATCTTAAATTTTGAATTAGTTATACTTGTTACAATAAACCAAGTCATCTATGAATTGAATTGTGGGTTATAATAGGGAAATGACTGATCTTCAAAAATGGCAACTCATCATATTTTACAATTGGTGATAAATAAAGTCATTTAAACTTTTTGGGATTTTATTCCAAATTGCAACCTAAAATGGTGGTAATTTGGAATATGTTTCTCCCATGATATAGTGGTACTTGCACTACGTTATAAATTGGTTTTATGGGGTAAAAAAGTCAGTGGAATCTCTTACGCGGGTATTTGAGATGAAAATTGTCGCGATAGGGGCAGTATAACCATACGTTATCATAACCAAACTTGCTGTCAAAACAATAGTATAGAAAAAAAATCTCTATTGATCTCTATACAATATCTATTGTATATATTATATTTTATGTTATATGAATAATGCAATATTTCCTGTCAAAGAAATGATGTAGGACAATTTGTTACCTGCAAACTTTGTAATGGTCTCTTTAGGACTGTCGTAAATTATTCAACAAGACAGTTTAAAGTGCTTTACTTGCACTGTTAGTAGTGGACAGTAAAATGTTCCCACGCGTATTGGTAAACCGCAACCTCCTCCGCACTCAGTGGCCACTATGAGGGCACCTGGCGAGTATGGTTTCCTATCTTGGGCAAAAATATCGAATAAGAATGATAAGAATCTGTATTTTTCAATTGATCGGAATTAGAATCAATCTATAAGAGAATCGATTTGACGAAAATCGATCAATATTTTTATATTTATGTCGACGTTTATAAAAAAGGAAATCTGAAAATTATAGAGAAGCATAGATTCAATAACTTAAAAAAAGGAAAAGTATACACAAAAATGGCATATGCATAGACTGGAGTAGATTATGATCTCGATTTGTTTTAAGAATTAAGGTGATTGTCCAAAATCATGATCTTCAATTAACTTTAAATAAATAAAAGTAGCAGATAAAACTTAAGTTGTACTTGGTTCAAGTAGGTATATTTATATCACTTTTAACTCCTTAAGAATGTATTAGAAAATGCCGTAATTAAAATATCCAAGTGCTAATAATGATTATTAGCGATTTATCGGCTGGCTGTGTACCATCGTCTTACCAACTTCTATTGTGAAGCAATATGCATTTTTTTCTTCTTTTCATATTTAGTATACAATATTGGCATGTCTTTTTATAGAGATAACTACGTGTAAATTGAATATATAGCTGGACTAAAAAGTGTGTATGGTAATTGATTATGTATTTTGTCTGTATTTATATATCTATGACAATAGTTGACCATATAAGTGAGACCTTTGGCCGAGTAACGTAATTTCCATAAAAAGAGATGTCAAAATTGTTTACTTTATATGCCAAGTATAAAAAAATTTACATGTGTCTATAACATTTTGAGTTAGAGTCGAGTTCTTACACTATTAGTAGGAACTTTTCTGTCAAAATTTGTTTATTCGTCAAAAAGTGTCTTACTGCTATGTAAGTGCAATTGTTGCTACCTGAGAGGTATATTAACCTCTTAGTTAGCGCAAGGAGTATAAGTAGGTATTTTTTAAAGGAATGTAGATCGAATAGCAATCCTGTCAGCCTATGTATGTATGTATGTTAGTGTGAACCTACGATAGCATTGTATTCATGAGGCAAAGATAAAGTCAGGTTACTTAACTGATTGTGACGAATTTGCTAGGAATTAACTACGGTGACTTCCAGTGAGAACTGCATGGAGGTCAAGCTGTTAAGGTTTATTACTAGCAATGGGGATCAGTGTTTCCAGTACTAACAATCCTTTCTCCCTCCTATAAGTAGGTAGTATTAACTAATACAGTGCTTAATTTAAAACCATCTAAGTTGCGAGAAATGTTAACGCTTGAGAAATGCCATGGGTTACTTATGTATATCTATGGAGGTTATGTTATATTACGTCTAAAAGACGACGGTTAAAAACGTTTCTATATTCTACTCCAGTATTTTGGTGCCTCTAAAGCTGCTATATTTCTTACATAATAAATTAGCTGCACGGGCTATACTCGTAATGTATAGTAACTTATAGGTAGGTATATGTGTGACCAGCGAGGTAATGTACCCAATTTGGATTTGAATTTTGGGAATTCACGACACTGGCTAGTTTTCTGTACACATGTTATCTTCTAAGTTTAAACTACATAAAATCATGTTTTTTTTTTTTAATTAAAACAAAATAGGTCATGGTTTTGTACACTAGGATTTTTTGATGAAGCTACTTAATTTTTTTTATGGGTTCATCAAGATAGTGGAAAAGTCAGTAGCAGTTATTGTTGTAAATCTTTATTGAATATACTTTAGGTATTTATTTAAAAATATAAAAATGTTTATAGTGGGAATTTATAAAATGATTTCTTGTTATCATATTTTTCATGTTTAGTTAATCTGTAATAGTTCATTGTTTAGTTTTTAATAATATAAAATATTTCAATAAACAGTTTAAATATTTTGACATATATCCAGAACGTACTTATTCTAACAACAAAATATATTTATTGAAACAATTAAAATCAGATTTTTTTTATTTAAAAAGCGTAGTGTGCAGGATTTAAAATACTTTACAGAGTTCATTGATCTTCTTCCTCAGAGATACTTTTATTAATATTTTAATTACTAAATATCAATGCGTTATCTTTAAACATTAAAATATTCATAACGTGTCTGTCATATCTAGATCTAGCCAGATCTATCAGTCTATCAGTGACTATACACAATTTCGTTCGTTATTTTTATGATAACGTAATTTCTTTTAAGTTTTATTCAATTTGGAATGACAAACAAGTTGACGATTCACTTGATAGAAAGCGGTATATCTGTTGACGTGAATACGGTCTCCATGACACTCATCTATAGGTGACGTTATATCAAGCTATATAAAGTTTAATAAATAAATGAAATGAATTTTATAATTATAAATAAATAATTATAATGAAATATAATTAATCATTCATTAATTATCTTATGCCTCCATACTCTGTAATTTTATTACAAAATTTCACCTTTCAAACCGTAATACAGCTAAGCATAGTTCAGCGGTAGAAACATGTGTTGGGCCATGGTATACCCAAATTAACGGCTATTACAATATCTCTTTCTGGTAAAATGTATACAATGTTTTATGCACAATTCTATATTTCAGTTGGTAAACGTGCTCCTTGCTCTAACGAAGGCGAGCTTGTACCCCTGCAAGACGCAAGACTCGTGCAAGATTGGAGTAGCTGCTTCACTTGCATCTGTAAGGTAAGCGACAATATAAATTCTTTTTTTTCTGATACAAACTATGATATATACTATATATATGATAAATATGATACTATAGCACCTTAACTGATTAACTAATCACTATAAAATTTCGTGTACGTGTATATCAAATATCTATTCTATTATATGGGATGAAAAAGAATATAGCCCACTTTTTATCCCGGTTAGTAAATATATCCCGGTTACGCGGACGAAGTCGCGGGTTATAGCTAGTTTGATATATTTGTGAATAATAAATAGTAAATCCGTAAATATATTATTTATATTATTGAATGCTAGTAAAAGTGGCAAAACATTGTTGTTGGATGGGGAACTGTATATTTTTATAATAATAGTTAATTACTCAAACAAAGTCGCGAGAAATCAGAGAGAAAATTATGGTATAATATAAATGTTAAAGCTTCGCAGATAATTAGATAATTATTATGGCTTTATTTAGGATCATTACAATGTTGACCGTCTATTACAATGTAGACATTCCCAGAGGTGATACTATGTAGATTCTGATTTGCATATTAATTATTCATATCAAGATTTATTCACCACATAATGTAATAGTACAGCGTTGATGTTGACGTCATTTTATTTTGAGAATACACGAGTAGATAGGTATACGTAATTCATTTAATTCGCTAACTGAATATTTCTTAGAATTCTTTCATTTAATATTGAGAGAATCTCAATTCGAAATACGTAAGATTAGTCGATATCTTATCTTCATATTCAGAGGAAAATGGAAAACTTTTGGGGTGTAACTTGTAACAATATGCAGATTGTTATACCACGACATGGAATATTTAACATAGTAAATGTAATGTAGGCCTTACATTCCACCACAGATCCAAGTATATTTAAACAATAAAGGTTACTGTTTAATTGCTCAATGACAGCAAAATAGGTATTTGGGGGATACTCTGAATTTTAATTTATCATTACATTGAAAGTACATATTTATTTATTGTTAGCCAAAAGAAAAACGAATTCGGAAGCAAGTGAAATAAATCACAGCAAACTGCTACTGTTAGCAGTTCGCTGCGTACCGCCCTTGCTACCCGCTTAGAATACTTAAGGCCTGCACAGACGATAGAAATATTGTACGCGTACAAAATTTTCCTTTTGTTAGCCGTGTCCTCGATTAACACGTGTGCGTGTACATGTGCATGCATTTTTAAGTTTTATTATGGTAATCAACATAAGAACACATTGCAACTAAAGGTAAATTTTGTCCATAGAAAAAAATATCTCTCGTCTGCACAGGCCATTAAGTAAGTCTGTAAATTCATAAAAGATTTTTGGCAACCAAAAATATTTATATGCTATATCTATAAATACATTGGTATCTTTATACCTATTTAATGCTGCTCATATTATAAATCACCATATTATTATGCATTACCAAAATTATAATAATTAATTACATATTAAATCTTTACGAGTAATATGAACAGTTATGTAATAATAATATACTATTTAATAATTACCATATTACTGACGGATGTATAGAATATAATTATTTATATTACAAGATAAATAATTGATATAGGTAATATTAATAATAATCAACTTGTATCAAATTTTATACGACTTCTATACAAGTTTAAATATAGATGCTCAGAGGGAAATCATAAGTGTGAAATTGATTGTATGGCCATTTTCGGTTTATAATACTAACATAACGCCAAAGTGTGAATTATTAAAGTTAACCCGCGTAATTGTCTCTATTTTTGGTTAAATATGTTTGTATGCCTGCCTACATGGCGAGTGCTGTCACCGAGCCATTTATCACGCACCAAGTTTAGAATAATAATTCTAACTCGCGTGTGACATGCTCACACCTAGACAATGACGAGTAATTTGATTAGCGACCATATAAGTAATACGTGGAATTTTAAAAAGTTTACAGTCGGTATCCATAGTTATTACCAGTCAGTAGCATATAATATATAATAGTAGCAGCCACAAAGCTCGTGTATATATCAGTTTCGCCATTAATTTTGCAGACTTTTTAAGTAATGATTTTTGGAAAACGTTTTCTCTAATGGTGCAAATATATTACGAATTCCATCTGTGACTCTTTTTGAACACCTGATAAATTGACGTTTATAACAAAATACTTATAAGTTATTTGTAATAAGAAACTTGTAAGACTTCCAATCAGTAATTGGAAATTTATGTTACTTTTTTTTTGACGAAAAATTCGAACCTAAAATTAAAATATTTTTTATTCAAATAAACTTGTTTACAAGCACTTTTAATTTTTTTTATGAGTGCAGGATTGTTATCTGCTGAGAAGAACCCATAAGAAACTTAACAGTTGCTCTTTTAAATCCCTGTTAAATTCCATTTTTGCATATAATAAACATACGCAGGTTTCTAATAAACAGTTTAAATTTTAAATAATTAAACTAGTTATTTTGATTTCAAAACAAAACTATTGAACCGATTTGAATAAAATTTCTATAAAACGAATCTGTAATATATCTTTTTAGATAAAAAAGTAATTTTCCAAATCAGTTTAAGACTAAAGGAGTTATGAGATACAAAAATAAAAAGATAAAAACCGAATTGGACCTTCTTCTTTTTGAAGTTGGTTGAAAATCATTGACATCAGTTCATAACCGCGAATCACAAACAAAAAAAAACAGACAGTGTGAACTTCCTCTTTTTTATTTATTTATTTTTTAATATATAATCCGCTTAATAGCAAGTGATCACTGCTTGTAGTCCATGAATACCTACAATACCATAGACGCATAACTTACGTGTTGCAGATCTTTGTGACATGGATATCTTACCTTTTAAATTAGGATAATTTTCCTACTACTACATACTCAGTATACCAGCATTTACCTAATAAATTATGAATAAATAATTATTTAAAAAGTTGATGTTTTTTAATAACGAATACATATGTACTTAGGCAAATTCTTTATAATTTGGCTGAAACTGATGTTTAAAATACTATGTAGTGCTAGGTGATAATTGTTAATATGTGTACATTTTAACAGGTCTTTGGTGGTCCAAAAATATTAACTTGTTATATCTAAGTATTTGTTGTTATGTTGCGTTATTATTTCATAGATGACAAAAATAGTTTTACACGTATGTATAATAATTTACGAATGACAATGTGCAAATAATTTATCTAGAACTTAAAAGTAAATTTTTTAGGGATAAACAAGCAAGAATAGAAAGATAATAAGGCGCTAACTATAACTATAAAAATAAGGATCTCAGTAAGGTTATTTAAAATTCTTATGTTAGAACACCTGGATTAGATATTTTATTTATTTTGTCTATTTTGCTTGTTATTCAGATATTTTGGAGTCGTCCCTCCTCATTTAAGGTTATTGCTGAATCATTGCTTTTAGAACAAGTCTCTACATATAAGAGGAGAGTAATTGTAATTAGCCTATTATTACCTCGCTTACCAGAAAGCTCGATATAGGGTTTTCTATAGAAGTTTCATTTTGTACAGTATTGTGCTTGTTTTCTTAGTCGCATAGTGACATGACTCATTCCATCTGTTATAAAGTCGGAGGAGTAAGGAAGGGACAAGCATACGATTGTTTTGTTTGAAATAGCGACGCATACCTTGTAGGCTATTATCACGTGCGTCTGCGCACCTCTCTGTTGCATTGGGTACGCCAAGTCGCGCTACCATGGCGCCCCGCTGCAAAAACTACCAATGCGGAAACTCTCTGTGCCTGTGTAATGTTATCTTAGGAATTCGACGTAACTGCTACTTACATTCACACTACATACTCGTATTGTGTTATAGATTTTTCATTTTTATTTTTAAAGTACACTGCAAAGTGGGGACTTAACAGTCATAAATATATTGATACTCATATCATCATTACCAGTTTAAATGTAGGGTCAATAAAACATTATTACTGCATAGTTGGTAACGGCATGACGCCAGATGTGTATATGTAAGTGAGATTGTGTACCGTATATCAGGTGGTATTTCCCAGCCGATCTCACCTCGCCGGATGACTTGCGCGGAATTCGAAAGCCCATCGAGATTTATCGCTTATTCTGAATTAAAATATACATTTGCTTACTTAATGGGCTTTTTTGTCGCGTGCCACATAGCGACCATGGGATACTGTGCGCTGTTGATGGAATTTTTATGATTTATCAAATCTATCGAATAACTTATTATATGGGTTGTGTATATATTATATTGAAGTATATTGCGTTTGCATAGAATTTAATTTATTGTAATAAGTGGATATTCAGTTGACAGGCGTAAGTGATGTTGACCCGAGGGTACCATTAGCCTTTTTATAAAGTCCAGTAGCAGCCTGATACTATCTCGTAGCTCCCGCGCACCGCTTAATTTAATGAGCCATGTCATTTATCGAGGCGCGGATTACAACTCTCTGCATGCCAGTCATTCCGTGTTTCTTCGCTATCTCGTTTACATGTCTAAAAAGCTGGAAAATAAGTATTTTTTGTATTGTATCAGTTAAAACGATTGTTGTATTTAAATTGAGTGTATTATTATTTACTATTTTTCTGAAGCAGAGCTTTACTTTGTATACTTTTTGTAATTTATAATATCTCTGTAGACAAAATTACTGAAAATAAGGTCAAACTTGTACATTATAGAGGATTTTTAGAAACTAGAATATTTACAATATTTTTTATTCAAATTCTTTAAGCTAATGCAATCTCTGATAGAAAAAATAGCACCAAAGTCAACAGAAGTGTTAGAATTTCAGTTCTTATATTATATAATATTCGTAGAAGATAGTCTAACTTTCATCTGATAGTTCAAGTTTGTTTCCGTTTATTTAACAAAATATTTTTATATATTTCTCTAAAAAGTTGCGGTGAATAAGTATAAATAAAAGATTACAGGGATTGGAGTCGATGAGGTTCCATAGAAATTTAATAACGACCTGTTTCAGACGAAGTGACCACACGTGGCCTTTTTATATTATTACCTATAATATATTTTATTTTCGCTA